TTAATTAGATTTTCTTAGCCTTTTATGAGAATGAACAATTGATGCAATAATGTAGATAAAAACCACTTTTTGAAAAACGTGTCAGTATTAGTACCTCATGGGTGACGTAGAAATCTATTGAAATATTTCCACTTAATAAATTTAAAAAAAAATTTATTTTTTAAAGGCTCCTGGGTAGTCACCGCAGCCATATTAGATTCGTGACGTCAGAAGCGAGAAATGACACGCCGAGAATTCTTGCGTGCCATTTCTAAATAAAATGATAATTTAACAAAGTAACACTCTAGATCGCTTTAAGACACCTGTAAAATTGTCCGAAAACTATGCTTTTTCCTTGACAGGTTATAAACAATCGTTAAATCAACCGTGAAGCGAAGCCTAATTATGCGAGAAAACACACGGTTGACAGCTGTCTGTATGAGTAGAAAATACTCCTTCTACGTTGGGCTTTCCCTGCTAATCTTAGTTTTCGGATAATTTTACAGGTTTCATGAACACGTCACATATCACAGCACTAACATTTAACGAATATTAACGAAATGGCACGCAAGAATAAATTGGGTAGTCAACATGTCATTTTTTCACGTCTAATAGTTCATCGATTCTCCACCTAAGACGCTGCATGAGAATTTCTGTCATATGGACATGTCGGTAACGGTACTAAGCTATATATATTCTGTATTTATCGCGTTTATTTTTTTGTAAACAAATTTTTGAATTATAAATTAGCATTTTGTATGTTATTCAGTAATTTACTTTTATCGTATCAATTGATTAGGTCAAACTGTTACACTATTTACTTATACAATAAATCGACTAGGTAAATTCGACTAGGTTTTTATTCCTACCACAATTATGTCGCCACTGTCAACGCGGAGTTCACGGCTACGGGACCAGGAGCCTTAATAAATTTTAATAAATTTTTTTAAATTTTAATAAATAGGGAGAAGAACCTACTCATAGAACCTAATCAGATAGTGCCGCTCCTAACGCTCGGCGGCGCTGGCCCTAGCGGCTGCGGCGCGCGCGGTAAGAAGAGGAAAGGAGGCGTATACCACGGAAATCGGCTGAAATGTTCAGACTAATTCCGAGCACTGATGTAAACGTATAATCATCGATAACGCCATAACATAATTATTTCATTAATTATTGTCTTTATATAGAATATAATTAATAAATTAAATTAATTCTTCTTTGTCAAGTTTGCTAAACACTCATTTAATAATTATTTACTCACAGATAAAACATAGTTATAAAAGCTAAATCTTTTCCTTGATAAAAAATATTTGTTAATTAATTAGTTAAACAATTTTTATATGTAACATAAAATTTACGAAATCTTAAAATAATACATATATGTCGGAGATTCTTTCTCATAATTATTACACACTTTAATAAATAAATGTTTAATAATAAATGTTTAATTTTGCAAAACAATTTAGCGAAATGCAATTAACTGTGCAAATTAATTATCTTTAATTGAAAAATAAATCAATCTTCTGTTTTTAACTTTTTATCTATATTATAAAAGTGAAAAAATTTTATCTCGATTAACAAATGTCAACAATGTTAAATGGAACATATGTAAACGATATTAAAATATTCAATATTTTCTTCATTGGTTGAACATTTTTTCTACGTATGTCAATGAAATCTCATTAATACTGACAAAATATTAATCTTTTCATTGCGTCTAACGATTTTTCTATATTACTCTGCACTCTTTTATGAAGAGAGCATCGTATCACCGAGCAGATCGATAATGTAATTATCAGTGACTCCCACATTTTACACTTTACATTTACTTTATCTGATTAGTCGTCATTGCTGTTTGATTACAATCACAAAAATTTGCGTGAGAAATTTTAACTTTTCATTTTTTGTCTTTTAAGAGTAAAATTATATGATCAAACTCTAAAATAACAATCGTCACGGAATATTTTTTTCGTGGCAGAATTTTTTTCTTTCAACGAGAATACTTTCGGAACGGAAAAAAATCGACGTTACTGAACAATAATTCATTCGCGCCCGCTTATAAAATGAGATTTACCACGGCGACTTTTCGCACCTTCTTAGTTTTCCGCAGACGACTTTTTAATCTTGTCACCTCGCGCGTTACCTCGTCTACCGACGGCAATCTAATTTTCCGCCCAAAAGGAAAGGGTTTTAATCGCTCGTCGCTTGAATCCGCTTGCCCCTGGCAGTTACCCGCAAAAGATGTTTAAATTATTTTTTTTACTGGCCGTAGTTTGTTAAATATTTGCGACAACCATCTTAATCACCGTATACTCGATTCCTTTTACTTACTGTTATAAGTAAACGACTGAGCAAACTTTGTCCTTTCTCTTATAAAAGCTATTAATTTATTCCAATAATTATTTTATAATTATTATAATATTTATGAAGGCAAGTAATTATAAAATTTTTTTAAAAAGGTATTACATCAGGTTTTAACAAAAAAGCGCCAAGTACACACGATTGTTGGAACAACGTTGTACATAATGTACATAAAAATCTATAGGAAAAAATTTGTCATATTATATTTTACCTATGGAAAAAAGCTGTTATTTATTTTATTCACTTAAAAAAGACTGTTGTATATTTTATAAAAAATATGATATCAGAAAATAGGGCCAAATGAGAATAATAAATTATATCATCACTTAATTAAATCACACCATTAAAATGGTTTTATTTTTCATACAAAAGGTAAATTATTAAAAAACTGACGTCAATACAAAATAAAAAAATATTTAATATAAAACTTTCGTGCAATTTTTTCATTTCACGTGTAAAATTTGGCTGGCCTTTGTTGAAATTTGTCTGTTAATAGTTGGAGTAATTAATCAAGGAAATTGGAATTTTTTATCTCTTAAACTACTTTAAAATTGTGGTGACATAAGACGTTTTATCAATGGCAACAATTTTAATAATTGAAACAATTGCAATAATTGTACCATAATACTAATTTTTATTAAAAGTGCAAAACACGCGCGGTCTTACATATACGTTAACCAATCGTGTTATGCGTGCAGAGAAAGTACTGTTAAAATTGTATACGTATAATTTGTTAAGTTTAAAGTAAAGTTAGTTTTGTATTATTAACAAAATTATTTTTAATTTCATCTCCTAACAAAATCTGGACAAGATAAATTATGTCTATATAAAATATGTCTTATATTCTACATAAAAATATAGAGAATACACATTTTTTTCATTACAAATTAATTTTTTTTTTTTTAATATTGTACACGTTTAGCGTGCATCTCACTGGGAGTCTATCTCGATTTTCCTACGCTCGTCTACAAGATTTTTCTCATCAGCACTGCGAAACCTGGCACTTCGACATCTCTTCTTTGGCCGTAGAAGGTGCGGCGCGTCGACTTCACGCTTCGTCACCAAAGTATTGTAACTTCGTATGCATCGACAACAATCCGCATCCGCTTCCGGATCCACGCGAATTTCTCCACGTGCCGGCGACTCACGCGGTCAAGATTTGCAATTCCTGCACTTTTCCGTCGACCCATTCCACCGGCGCGGTCCCTCGGAACCTCGACAACGTCCGCGAGGAATTCTAAATTTCCTCGAAATTGAATGCAACGAGGAAGTTCGCCGCGATTCGGAGCTTTTGCGGCCGACTGGGGGCATGTAACCAGCGTTGTAACTTCCGCATGCAATACTTGTACCGCCGAGGAGCACATTGGAGCGCTCGCTTATGGTTGTGCGACAATATTTAAGGCGCCGAGAGAGCATTGTTTAAAGTTTAATTTAAAGTTACCTGCTGACGTTCGGGGGATTGTATTTATTTTTTCACATAAACAAGATTGTTTGTTATCGCGGATTATGATTATAATTTATGTAATTTTATCCATTTGCAACGCAACTTAATAATTATGCATTTCATTCCGCACACGTATACATACAAGTGATGGGATTGGAATTATCCTTTCGTCCTGAATTTTCTAAATTTTTAAAAATTAGGCTTTTAATTTTGATCTTTTTATCAAAGTTTATATCTTATATCAAAGTTTGGTTTATACTTTTTTAGGTACAATTATGTAAATCACGTGCATTTTTTTCTCGCGTTGATCAATAATAACTATTTCTTAAATACTAATACCGAAGGAGATACACGATCTTGATCGGCAAATCCAATCATACTTCTCAGGGCGCACAATGCTGGATCAAGCGATTACCGTCTTTTCTTATTCATATTTTGCGAATGTCATTTTCGCACGTTCTCGTGTGTCTGCGCTGCGTTGCGGTGCAACGTAATCCGGCCGGAAAGCCGGTTACGCTCGCCCTCATTAACTCGCCTCAACAATGAGCGTGGGTGTCGGCGTAGTACGTCGCGGGATCTTTTCAACCCCCGTCCATATCCACACCCTTCTCGGGGCTGATATCGCAGGGCGCATGCGCGAGCGGTTTCCTCTCTTTCTCCCCCTCTCCTCCCTCTCTTCTTCTCTCTCCCTTCAACGACGACGACTACGACGACGACGTCGACGACGACGACGACGACGACGACGAC